AAAGAAAGGAAATCATTAGAAACTGTGTTGCCCAGTTATATGTCAATGAAATCAATAACTTAAATGAAATGCATGGATATTTATAAAAATGTAAAATACTCAAATTAACAGAATAAGAAAAAGAATTTAAATAACAATATCAGAAAAAAAGAAATTAGATGAGCTATAAAGGCACTCCTCTCTCCCCCCCTCTCGGGACCCCCCCCCCAGGCCTGAGTGGATTTACAAGTGAATTCTATCAAACATTGAAAGAACAATTCATTCCCATGATACAGAAAGCGTTTGCAAAAACCCGGGAAGTTGGCATTTCTGGCTCCAGTGAGGTGAGTGAGGTCATATTTTTAAATCAGAGAGAGAGATAAAGCAGAGGGAGAAAAGCAAACTATTATCTTTAATGAATAAAGATGTAAAAATATTGAATAAAAATTGTTGTTGTAGCAAAGAGACTACAAGATTAGATTTATAGCAGGCAGCTGGTGGTACAGAGGATAGAGCGCTGGGCCTGGCATCAGGAAGAACTGAGTTCAGATTAGGCCTCAGGCACTTACTAGCTGTGTGGCCCAGGGGAAGTCACTTAACCTCTAATTCCTCATCTGTAAAATGAGGTTTAGTAATAGCACCTACTCCCCCCACCCCCCAGCTGTTGAGACAATCCCGTGAGAAGATAACTGTAAACAAAGCATTTACCACTGGGTGAATTTAGCACTGGGCCTGCAGGGCATAGTAAGTGCTTAATAAAAGCTCATTCTCTTTCCTTGTATGACCCCTAAAGGCTTTTTTTTCCAATAAGGTCAAGTCTAGAGCAAGGACATCCATTGTTACTGATGGCTCGTTTGATGTTATATTCAATATAATATTTGATTATTTGTTATTATTTGATAGAGTTCTAAAAATGCAGGGTATTACAATGAAAAAGAAAAAGAGGTAATGAGCATAGGCAAAGAGGAAGCAAAAGAAATGATCACTTTTTGCAAATAACAATGGTTTGCTTAGAGAGTCCACTTCAGATCCACTGAAACAATAACTTTAATAAGGTAGCAGGAGAGAAAATGGCATCTCCTGCCCCAAATGCTCAGCATTTCTGTATGATGCCAATCAAACCAAGGAAGAAGAACTAGAAATAGACATTCCATCAAAAATAACTACAGAACTTCCAGAATATCTGGGAGTCTACTGTCCACCAGACTGAACAGGCCTCTAACCTGGGGATTGTTGTTATGCCAAGCCCAGGGCACAGTCTGCTCGCTGGGCCTTAGCTCTGAAAAACAGGGGGTCTCCTAATATCCTGACACTACTTACCAAGACCCATACAGGAATTATATGAATATAACCACCCAACATCTTTTTTGGAAATAAAGGAAGACAAATAACTGAAGAGATACAGGTTGCAAACAAAAGGGTTTGGGGTTTGTTTTTTTCAAGTTATATTGGGAGAAAAAAGAAGATCAAAGAAAGGCTAGGACCCATGCTTGGCGTGAGGGGAGCCATGGTTCCCAACAGACAACAGGCAGAGATGGCTGCTCAGCTCTTACTTGATCTCTGCTTCCTCAGCCAAGGAGAATGGCCCCACACAGGGAATGACCAAAAGGGACTTGATTCCCAGGGTATGTGAGGAGACACAATGACCACGTGGCAGCCACTGATAAATTCAAGTCACCTGGCCTAGAAGAGTCACATCCTCAGGTCCGAAAAGAATTGGCAGATGTTACTGCTGGACCACTGCCTAGCTGTTTGAAAGCTCATGTGATGCAAGACCGGGTGAGGTGCCTCAAGGGTAGGTAAGGATAAATGTCCTGACTTTCAAAAAAGAGAAGAGGACCCTCTCCAAACAATAGGCTAGTGAGCCCGACTTCGATTCCTAGGAAAAGTCTAGTACAGAGTATTAAGGATGTGACTGGAGACACCTAGAAAGGGAAACTGGGATTGCTAAGAGCCAGCCGGACTTCATTAAGAACAGGTGATGCCTAACTCACCTAATTTTCTTTTGGGAAAGGATAATTAAATGATCAGATGGGAAGGCTATGGCTAGAGTTTACCTAGATTTTAGCAAAGGTCTTGATAAGTATTTCATACTGTTCTTAGAGAGAAATGAGGAGATATGGATTATATTGTAATACAGTCAGGTGGAATCAAAACTGGTAGGATGGCTACAGTCAAAAAGTAGTTACTACTGGCTCCATGTCAATATGGCAGGAGGTCTCTAGTAGAGTGCCCCAGGGATCTGTACCTAGTTAGCTCTGTATTCTGTACTCTTTCACATTTTTATCAAAGTCTCAGATAGTGGCATAGATGGCATGCTCATCTAATTTGCAAATGACCCAAAGTTAAAAGGTAGAATTAGCTTACAGGATGGCCAAGTCAAGATTCAAAAGTCAAGATTCTTGCCTAACATGCAAGAATTTGGGGCTGAATCTAAGAAGACAAAATTCAACTGGGATACACATAAATGCAATTGTAAAGTCTTGTACTTTCAAAAACAATTGGACTTCACAAGTATGACCTCATTATACAAGAGTAATTTGGAAAAGATTTAGGGGTTTCAGCAGACTGTAAGCTCAATGTGTGGCAAGTGGCATTGGGCTACACTTCTCTGGGTACGGAGGTGCCAGGCCCACTGGCCTCTGCCTTTGTCAGACCCCATCTGGCGCACTGTGTTCCATTCTGGCCGTCATGATTGAAGAACATCGATGATCTGGAGAGCGTCCAGAGAAGGGCAAGCAGCATGGGGCAGGGCCTTGAGTCCATGACATCTGGAGAACATTGGAAGGAATTGGATATGTTCACTCTGGCAAAGAAGAAGACTGTGGGGTGGGACAACATGGTCATTGTGGTCAAGTACCCAAAGGGCTCTTGTGGGGAGGAAGGACTGTGGGCAGCAATGGGGGAAAGGGGCAAATGTGTCAAATTAGGCAAGAACCTAGAGCTGGTCGCAAGTGGAACCGCTTCTTGGAGAAGAGGTCAGCTCCCTTGGGGAGCCCTTCACTGACTGGATTGGACTTGAGGGTCACCGAGGTCCTTTCCAATGCTCAGGCCCCATGAGCTCACTCATGGTTGGAACAGAAATTCTAAGACCACATGATTAACTTACGGATGTAGCACCATCTGAAACTCCCAAAGGTTTACTTTGTAAAACTAGATAAAGTAATAACAAAATATACTTGGAGGAACAAAATGTCAAGAATTTCAAGGGAAATAATGAAAAAAGTGGGCAGGAAGCGGGCCTAGCAGTACCAGATATCGGACAATAGCACAAAGCAGTAATCAGCACAAGTATTTTGTGCTGATTAAAACAGAGAAACATTGCTCAGGGGAACAGATTAGGGATGTGAGACCTAGATGGAATCGAAAATGTTAACTTAGAGTTTGATAAATGGCAAGGGCACCAACTATGAAGGCAGGGCCCAACCATTTGGTGGGGGGGACAAAAAAAAAAGTTGCTGAGAAAAGAGGACAGCAGTTTGGCTTAGGAATCTACTACCATCTCCCACCATAATAAGCTCCCCATGTTTCCATGACCTAGTTTTGAAATGTCATCTCATAAACTAATTAGAAGAGAAAGGAACCTGATACCTTTCACATTTATGGCTAGGGGAAGAGGTCTTAGAGGCTAGAGAACATCAGAGGAAGTAAAATTAATAATTTTAGGGCATCAACAGGCACTTCTCAAAAGAAGCATTGCAAGGAATACACAGCCATGTGTAACAAAATGAGAGAAAAGCTCTAAAGAATTAATCATAAGAGAAAAGCAAATTTGGAAAAGTGGAGTTTTCATTTCACATCCATCAGATGGGCAAAGATAAGCAGAGAAAGGAGAATGGCAATTTTTGGAGGAGATCTGGGAGGTCAGGTACATTAATGCATCGTGGGTGGTCCAGGCATTCTAGAAAGTTTAGAACTAGACCCAAAGAGTCAATAAACATGTTTACACGTTGACCCAGTAATGCCACTGCTGGGCCTATACCCTAAAAAGTCCAAAGAAAGAACAAAAGGGCTCCTAAGCACAAAGCAACCCTTTTTATCATAGCAAGTTGGGGAATGGATGAAGAAATGATCATGATTGATAGATAGATAGATATAGATTTGGATACACATATATTACATACATAGGTATATAGATTTAGATAGCTAGACACACACGCACGCGCACACACACACACACAACACAACACACACACACACATATATATATATCTCACCACTTCTTTAGCCATCCCCCAAGATACACACCCAAAATGCAACATTACCTAAGAAATGATGAAAGGGACGGATTCAGGGAAAATTAGGAAGCCTTGTGTGAACTGATTCAAAATGAGGAAGAACGAGCAGAATCATTTATTTTGACAATGATTCTATGTAATATGTGAACTATAATGTCAATTGTTCTATGTAATTACGCTGTAATTAATAATATATACAACAATCAAGGAAAACTTCTTGAAAGACTCCTGAATCAATGCAAATCACCAGCAATATCAGTGGGCCCTTGGAAAACCCAGCAGCGTGTCCCACCACCTCCTGGCAGAAAGCTGAGACGTGCCAACATGGCTGGAGTCCGGATGCTTGACTCTATTTGTTTGAGAAGAAGGCCTTTCCCTTTGGTGGGGGCAGCAGGGGCGGGGATGAGGGGGAGGGAGGTATGGAGTGGATGAGAATGATCAACTTCACAAGGAAGAAAAGGGAAAAAAAGAGCCTCAAGGAAGCAGTTTTTAAAAGTGGAGTTCTGAAAGAGCCTGAGTTAAACAAGATAGTCGGGTTAATTTCGTATCTACTTATAAAAGAATATCTGTAAGATTTGTATATAAGCCTCTCACTCTCATCTGTATGTGGAAATGTGCACGTTTGTCAAGGTCACAATAAAACAGAAAATTTTTAAAAAGGAGGGAGAGACACAGAGACAGAGACAGAGAGACAGAAACAGAGAGAGAGAGAGATGCTAGGTTCTGGATCAGGGAGGAGGGAAGGGAGGGAGAAGGGCAGGCTGGAAGGAGGGCAGGAGGGAGGGGTGGGGCAGCTGAGCCTTATAGAATCCAGTAGGAGGCAGTTGCTCTGCAGATCTCCAGCTAGACAGAACCCTTACCTGTTCTGAGAAGTCAGAAGCCTGCCTGATAACTCTCCTAGCCCCGACCTTCACCAGGCCAGAAAATGGATCAAGGTAAATGGATGTGGGTTGGGAAAAGGGGTACAGACAGGGCCCCACAGGTCAGTAGAGACCCTAAGGATCCCAGATCACCATTTTATAAAGGGAGACTGAGTCCCACGTAGTGGGACAGTGGTGGTGGGGGGGGGTCTTGAGGACTTTTGCAGAGGAGGAGATGGAATCCTACAGGGCAGGAGAGACCCTGAGCATCCTGGGGTGTAAATTCAGGAGTTGAGAGACTTCAGTCCAACACTCAGCTCATTTCGTGGAGGTAAGAAATTGAAGTTCATAGGTGGGCAACTCCCTTCTGGTCACTAACCTGCAGAGTTGGAATCAGGGCCTTTAGAGACCACCCAATTCAACCCTCTCACTTTTCAAGGCATGAAATTGAACCTTAGTGAGAAAAACATTCTTAGGAAAGCTCAACCTTAGGAAGCAGAGCTCCAATCAGACTTTATAGAAAGTCCCTCATTTTACAGAGGGAAACTGAGACCCAAAGAGGGAAAGGGACTTCTGATCACAGAAGGTCAGTGTTAGCAACAATTAGCCCTAAGAATCCATCAAATCCAGCCTCTTAATTTTACAAGAGGGAAAGTTGAAGCTCAGAAAGGAATCGGCCCTTGGTGAAACAGAGAGGGAGCACTCTTGGGGATCATTCACTTTAACCTTCCCACTTGATAGAATATGGAATAGGTGTGTGTGTGGGGGGGTTGATTAACAAAATATCACAGCAGGAATGGAGGCCCTTTTATTAGGGCCTATCTCTGTGCCAACTCCCCAAATCATTGTACTGGAGCAGGAAAGTGAGGCCCAGAGCATGGGCAGCACTTGGGATCATGAGGTGTTGAGTTCAAATCAAGACCTGTTAAAAACTTATCAAGTCCAATTCTCCTCCTCCTCCTCTAAAGAGGGGCAAACTGAGGTCCAGAGCAAAAGGAGACTTTGAGGCTCCCACCCAGAAATGCAGACCAGGAATCCCAGTACAATTGTCTCATTTTACAGATAAGGAGGAATCTGAGACCTAGAAAGGGGTGAAGGTGATTCAGTGTCACTGAATGTCACAGTTAGGAACTCAATCCATAGAGCCAAAGGGAAACTGAGGCCCAGAGAGAGGGAGTCATTTAGAAACTCAGAACATCTGAGCTAGAACCCTCCCTGAGACACCATCCAGTCCAACTCCCTTATATTACAGCCCAGTAAACTGAGGCCCAGAGAATATCATTTGCATCACCAAAAGTCAGAGGAGTCAGTTTCACAGGACATCAGGTTCAATGCCCTTCATTTCATGGGATGAAAATGATGGACAGATGTCAGAAGACACTTGGGATCAGAGAATTTCAGAGCTGCAATTCTGGCCTTCCACCACTCCCCACACACCTTTTGAATGTAATCTCTTCACTTTCTCTCCATTCTCTTTAACCACTGTCCTCTATTCCATAATAATAGCTAAAATTTACATAGTGCTTACTATGTGCCAGGTTCTTTACAATTATTATCTCATTTGGTAGGTGCTGTTATCATCCCCATTTTACAGATGAGGAAGCTGAGGCAGACAGAGGCTATGTGACTTGTCCAGGGTCACACAGCTAGGACGAGTCTGAGGACAGATTTGAACTCAAGTCCTCCTGACTCCAGGCCCAGCACTCTATCCAGCTGCCACAGACCCTGAACAGCAGTTCTAACCCTCTTCCAGTACAGACTTGACCACCCCACCCCACTCCACCCCCTCCCACACCCATTCCTTTTCTGTAATTTCCCCCCACTAGCTTGACTTAGGAGAGCAGCTCTTTCCCTCCCTTGGCTCCCTAACCTCTTCGAAAAGGAAATGAAAAGGGCAGGTCCTTCGTCTACCTCCAGACTTGGGGCTCTCTCAGAGTCCTCAGATTGCTGCCAGCTTTAGGAGAGCCTTGATAGACAGCCAAAGGAACAGAGACCATTGTCAGGGTGGGCAATGGGGAAGCACTGCTGGTCCCTGGTGGGGAAGGATTGGCTTGGGCCCAGAGCCAGGTTTTAGGCAGGTGACTCAGGAGGCCTGTGCAGGGAGGTCTGAGGGAGCAAGACTCAGGGTGGATCCAGCAGCTGAGAGGCCTGGAGAGGAGCTCAAAGGGTGGGAAGGAGGGCTGCCCCAGAATGGGACTATGGGTACCGAAAGAGGGAAGAGAACTCAGCCCACCTTGTCTGCTCCACAGGTTTGAGTGAATCTAGGGAAATGGAAAAAGCAGCAATGAGCAAGGAGAGAGAGAGAGAGGGAGACAGGGAGAGAGAGAGAGAGAGAGAGAGAGAGAGAGAGAGAGACAGAGAGAGAGACAGAGACAGAGACAGAGGACAGAGAGACAGTGAGAGGAGACAGAGAGAGAGAGAGAGAGAGGAGGGAGAGAGGGAGAGAGGGAAGGAGAGAGAGAGAGACAGAGACAGAGACAGAGACAGAGAGACAGAAGAGACAGAGAGACAGAGAGAGAGAGAGAGAGAGAGAGAGAGAGAGAGAGAGAGAGAGAGAGAGAGAGAGAGAGAGAGAGAGGGAGAGAGAGAGAGAGAGGAGAGAGAGAGAGAGAGAGAGAGAGAGGGAGGAGAGAGAGAGAGAGAGAGAGAGAGAGAGAGAGAGAGAGAGAGAGAGAGAGAGGCAGACAGACAGAGACAGAGACAGTGGACCTTAGGCACTAGCTGTAAGTTCAATGGTCTGTGATGTCTTTTGTAGGTATACAAAAGGACTGTCATTTTTGTCATTGGACAAAGTACTAGGATACAAGCTCTGTTCCTTTGCTCATCCTCTGCTTCCTGAAAGCCCCCTGGTCCTTATGCCAGGAGCAAACAGAACAGGGATACCACACATGCACCTTGTCCAGGCCCTACATGGTTTTAATTTTAATTTCTTCTCTGACGTCTCTGTAGTTTGCAAGCATTTCATTCCATGTAGTTTAGAAATGCTGAGTACGGTATTCAGCATGGTGATAGATTACAAAAGACCTTAAATATGTACCGATCCATGCTGTAGCTATATCATTGTGGGTAATAGCTTGGGCCTTGGGCCATGGTGATGGACCAGGTCTATTACCATCTGTTGCTTGAGTATTGTTACTTGGGGGTTATGTTTGTAATAATGACACTTGTGGTTATTATCTATTCTCAGGCAACATGTCTGAAAGAGACAGAAGTGACTTCAATTTCAAGAGTGGGCAGCCAAGTCAATTGCCCAAGTCGTCCCAGAGCAAAAGTGATGATCCCCAGGCTGTGAAGCAGGAGTTTGTACACATTAAGCAGAAAGTCGATGCCCTGCTGGATCACCTAGAAAACATCATGAAAGAACCTGCAAAGTTGCGTGAGATGATGAGGGCAAAGGAGATGGAACAGGAGCTGGGCAGCAGGATCCCGAAGAAACCCAAGACAAATGAGGAGACACACGCTGAAAATAACGGGGCAGTCGGTGGAAACCAGGTTTAGTTGGCGCCAGCCTGGAGGAGGAAGAGGACCCTGAAGATCCAGGCAGCCAAGACCAACCAGGGCTGTTCTGCCAGGGCCAGCCCCACTCCCTGTGACCCCTGGGCCTTCTCTACCAAGGCCAGCATGTGCTCCCCACTGTCCTATGTCTAACAGGTCCCTCAGCTGCCCCTCCTCTGCCTTTCACACTTTCCCACTTCTTGCAAGTCTCCCAGGAGATAGAGTAAAACCGCAGTAGTTTTGCTTTTTTAACTTTGACGCTTGTATTCATTTGATAATTAAAAAGTAAATTGTTCCTTTTGCAGTTTTGTTTTGTTTTGTTTTTTAAAGGGGGGCTGTTGGGGAGGAGGGGAAGGGACACCCTGGAGTAAGTGGGAGTGTCCATCTTTGAGGACCTGGTATGGCCAAGCAGCAAAGTCCCCCCGGGGCCAGGTGAGATGATGTATGTAGTAGGGGATGGCTGCACACTGGCCTCAGTGGCTTGGAAAGGCTCACGCTCCTCCCACCCAGTCCCCTGCCCAGGCCCTCTTGGGTAAAGCCCTAACCAGGCCAGGGACATGGGGTCTTTGCCTCAGGGAGCCAGCACTCAGGGGCCATGTCTTGGTGGAAGCAGTGCCCTCGAGCCGGGGGTGCTATCAGGCAGCCTGCCCCTCTTCCCAGGCCCACCTTTCATCTCAAGGATCTGGCCCCACATCCTCTTCCCCCACTGCCTCTTTTCCTGCCTTTCCTGGAGGCCTCAGGCCAGCTGTGTGCTGTAATGGAAGCCTTTGCAAGGCCTACTGCAGCCTCACCACCTCCAAGTCTTGTCTGGGTCCTTAGCCCTGGGAGCTCTTCCCACCAAGCACCTGGTTGTTGATTCAGCCTTCTGGGGGGGCATAGCAGGGAGGACCTGGGACCATGAGTGCAGCAAGAGGAGTGGGGGAGGAGGAGCAGCCCTTAGCCCAATGGACCTGAGCAGTAGCCCCAGCTCTGGGGAGCTCCTTGGGCCCCTGGGCACCCTTGGTTAGGGACATGGGGCAAGTCAAGGTCAGAAGGGGGCCTCTAGGCCCCTTTTGCCTGAAAGCAGGCGTGGGTGCATCTGCCCACCCTTTTTCTACTGTTAATAGCTCTGTGTGTTCTTGGGCAAGCAAAATGGAAACACAAATGAGGAGTGTATGTGTGTGAGGGTGTGTATGTGTGTGTGAGGATGTATGTGAGTGTGTATGTGTGTGTGTGTGTGATGGGCTGCGTGAGTAGTGTATCCTTGTGTGTGACAGGCTGGCCTACCGACCAGTGTAACTGCGTGTGTGTATGTGTATGTGTGTGTATATGTGTGCTTAAGTGTGTGAGTGTATGAGTGTGTGTGTGTGTGTGTGTGTGTGTGTGTGTGTGATGGAAACTTTCTTTCCATGGCAGAGAAAAGGCCCCAGTTCCAACGACCTTGAATCAAGCAAGTAGCCCGGTGCCATGAAATGAATGTCACTGGGGCCATTTGTGGGGAGCATCCAGGCTGCTTCAGTCCTGGCAAAGTTTCGTTGCTCTGGCAGTGTGTGTGATCTGTCTGGGGCTGGAGCTGAGGGCCATTGGGGGAGGGGGGAGGGACAGGGGGAGGTTGGAGGCAGAAGGATGGGGAGCTGATGAGGGAGGGCTGAGAGAGGCAGCTGAGGGAGGGTAGCAGTCTGTGGGAGATATGCTTGCGGGTAGGGGGAAGGTTGTCCTGTGGAGGAGGGGGGTGTTTTCTTCTGGCTGGCCCCAAGGGCAGAGTTGGGAACATGGGAAGAGGGACAGGGAGAACCTGGGGGAGGGGGAAGCAGATTTGGGCTTGATGTAAGGAAACAATTTCTAACAATGAGAGCTGTTCCAAAAGTGGAACGGGTGGCCCAAAGAGGAGTGTACGTTGATGTGGGTTCAGAGCTTTTTGAAAGGCCAGACGAGTTCAGTGACAACTTGGGTGAAGCCAGTCCCCAGTGGCATACCCCAGGGATGTGGGCTTGGCCCTGGGCTGTTTTTCCACACACTTGTCAGTTAGTGGGAGCGTCCATCATAGGGAAGCAGAGGTGGCCCAGCTCGTCCAATGAGCAGATGACCCAGAGCCGGGAGGGAGAGGTCACTCACACGCTGGGGGGACAGAGTCAGGATCTGAAAACATGTCAACAGGCTGAATTGAATAAGATGGAGTCCACTGAGGAGAAATCAGAGGCTGATCAGGGGAGGCTCAAAACCATCCCTTCAGACATCTGGGATGGGGGAAACACGAGCAGTTCATGTGCCCAGTTCTGGAGGGTGACCCGGCTCCCAGCCCAAGAGGAGTCCCCATTATGTGATGTGGCTGTCACCAAGTGAATCCCATGTTGGGCAACCATGAAGTGAGTCGGAGGGCCCAGGACGAGGGGCGTGAGCCTTCCCTTCCCCTGCTGTACTCAGGCCCCTTCTGGGATGTTGGGCTCACCTGCAGGGGTCTAAATTTAGGAAGGACTCTGACACACTGGAGTATGTGCAGTGGAGGGTAACCAGGCTGGAGAGTCACGTCATGTGAGAATGCTGTTGAGGGGGCTGAGAATGTTTGGATTTGGGAAGAAAAGATTTGGGGCAGGGAAGGAGGTAGGGGACATGTTACCTCTGTGTTCAAATCGTAGAAGGGCTGTCATAGAGAAGAAGGGTCAGCCTTTTAGTGCTTGACCTCCAGAGAGAGGGGCTGGCATTGGCAGTGAAGAAGAGGCTGATTTAGGCTGAATGTAGGAGAAAGTTTTCAATAATGAATATTGTTCTCAAGTGGCCTGGGTTGTTTGGGGAGGTTGGAAAGGGGACCCCTTTTAATGGAGGCCTTCAAGCAAGGGCTGGGAGAGATGTTGTCAACAATTTACGTTTTGGTGACGTAACTATGACACCTACCTCCCCATCCCCCATGCTGCTCCCTTATTGGTAGAAAGGCATGTAAAGTTCTAGAAGGAAGAAGTAGGAAAGGGTGGGGTTAGGCTACACTTGGGAAGATCCAGTAGGAGGCGAGTGCTTTTCTTGTTAGATGGTCTTGTTGAGGCTAACACAGGTCTAGTGCAGGCTCTTCAGGGGGCTCGTGGAGGTGACCCAATGGGTGAGTTGCTCCATGTTACAAGTGTGGGGAGCTGTGAAGAGGATGGCTGGGGTTGGCCCTGCGTCTATAGTTCAAGTCCACCACCTCCTAGTGTTAGTGATACAAGTGTAGAGGCCTCTGCCAGTGCTTCCATCCCAGTGGGGCCCGTTGCTTCTGAGTCTGAACTGCCAGCTGAGGATCCAGAAATTCAAGGTGAACAAGGTGACACTTGAGGGAAAAGCTGAAGGTGGGGTGGGGCAGGGGGTGTCAGTGAGAGAGATCATGTTATTTCACCTCATTCTATATATTTAACAAAACCTCCTTAATTCCTTCTAGCATTATTTGTTTAAAACCATGTAAATGACTAGATCTACCTTTGGAGCTGATTTTTCTAAAAATTTTCTTTCCTATAAAGTGTTCTGGAAGCTTCTTTCACAGCCCATGTGACTCTATGGGTAACCTCCATGCTAATGAGAAACAACCCATACAGGATCATGGCTGAGAAACTCTGTTCCTTCCAAATGCCCATTTTTATGACTAAAATGCACAAAAAAACATGCATGGAATTGCAATTTGGGTATTGGGATGAAACTCAGGAAAGCATGAAACACAAAAGCCTTTGTGTTAGACATAAGGAAACCAAGGCCCAGCCTGATGAAGCAACTTCCCTAAGGTTGAACCTCAGACATACAATAGCTGCCACTTCACCTAAACGACTGTCAGTCAACATAAAAGGGAAACAGCATGGGAGTTGAGGGACAGCTAAAGGGAGGGAAGGGGGAAAACCAGTTAAGGTGGGAGGACAGGGAGGAAATAAGATAATCAGACACCCCTATTATGGAAACCATGAGCCTTTCAAAAGTGCTTTGCAGTTAATCTGTATTTCAGCATAATTAGTTTCCTTTGTAAGCATTTCTATTTTAGTTTATACTTTTAAAATTATAATTCTGAGGAGTCTCTGGGCTCCCCTACACTGCCCAAGCAATCCACAATCCACACACACACACAGACACACACACACACACACACACACACTAAAAAAAAGGAAAGAATTCCTCTTCTGAGGGTTTTGCAAACTTTCAAATACAGCAGAACACCATTTTTAAAAATTTCCTCTCCATGGTTTTTTTTTAAATTTTTAAACATTTTAATTTAAAGTTTTGAATTCCACATTGTATCCTTCCCTCCCCCTCTCCCTCCCTAAGACAGCAAGCTATCAGATATAGATTATATGTGTGCAATTATGTCAAACACTTCCACATTACTCATTTTGTGCAAGAAGACTCAAAACAAAAAAACTGAAAGAAAAAAAGTGAAAAATGGCCTGTTTCAGTGTGGATTCAATCAATGCTAGGTGTTTCTCTGGAGGCGGACACCATACTTCATCACTTCTCCTTTGGCATTGTCTATAGACATCACTGTAGTTTGTTCAGTTTTGTCCCAGCCCGTGATGTCATGACAATAGGTAGTCCCAGGAGAAAACCCCATCAACTTCCCAGTCTCCTACATTAACAGAATAGCTAATAAATTTATACAGCACTTACAAGGCACACTGCTAAGCCTTAGAACAAGTATTATCTCATCCGATGCTCACAGCAGCCCCAGGATAGAAATATCATTATTATCTCCATTTTACAGATAACGAAACAGGCAGAAGTTAAGTGACTTCGCCAAGGTCACACAACCAGGAACTATCTATCTAAGGCAACTTGAATGCAGGCCTTCCACATTTCAGGTGCAGTATTCCATCCACTGCAGCACCACTTACCTGTCTTCCTCGTATCAGCCCCGTTCTCCCTTACCCCCCAAAATTGCAACATCATTTTGTTTCAAATTGAACACCTCTGAATACACCCCCTTCTCTCTGATGACCCTGCCTGGTGCAGACCCTTATCACCTCAACCCTCTATTACTGCAGTAGCTGCTTCAGGTTTCCCCCAATCAGTCCAATCAGTCACCAAAGAGATTTTCTTAAACCGCAGGTCCAACCAGATGGCACCTTTACTCAGTAATGCACTCCTAATGCCTGCCTCTTATCTCCAACAAACCCCCCAGACTCATCTCTGAGCTATTAGAGCCCTTTAGAAACCCATTCCTTCCCACCTCCCCATCCTCATTACTCACTCATCACTCTTCTCCACTCACTGCGTGATGAGCCACGCTAACCAAGGGGCTGTTGCTCACACACAACAACTTTTGAACCGAATGGCCCACTAGTTGAGATGCTTGGCCACGTCACCCGGGCCTCAATTTCC